CGGTGAATCACCACCTTCCCCTACCTTATGGAAGCGACCGAACGTTGCGGCCAGAGCTCGGCCAAGCTATCGGACTTTGTGCCCCGCCCAGCCGTTGTGGAATCCCTTCGGGGAACACGTGGGGCAGAAAGATAAAGAAGAAGAGGGAGGAACAGCGAACAGGAACGTGGCCATCTGGGCCGCCGCCTTGGTTCCGTGCCAACAGGGCGCGTTGTCGTCGCACGCCGCGGTGCAGCCTCCAGTCTCTGGCCCGCGCGCCGAGCGCCGCCAGTTCGCCGCGTTGCATCGCGCAGACGGCGATCGCGTGCGTTGGTTACGTGGCGCCTGGTTCGCGTCGTTGACGCAGTTGGCACCCGCGTCCAAGCGCAGTTCCTGCAGCGCGTGGCTCGCGTGGCTCGAATTCGCGGAGAAATTCGGGGGCGACCAGGCATGCCAGCTGCCGCCTGAGCTGGGCTTTGTATTGGCTTGGGCGAAGTGCATCGACGATGCGAGGACGTATAGCACTCGCGTCGCGCACTTGCGGCGCGCGCGTGCCTCTTGTGCGTTCGCAGCGTGAGCGTTTTTCTGCGCCCCGCCGTCCGCGAGGCGCGTGCCGGCGTCGAGCGGCGACGCGCGCGGCCTCGGCGCAAACCGCGTTTCATTCAGCGCGACGCGCTCCGCGTGGTCGCGTCGGCGTGCGACCCCGGCTAGGTCGCGCGTTGCGACTTCATGCTCGTGCCGTTCAGGTGCGTGTTTCTTTTGCGCGTGCCGTCGGAGGCGGTGCCAGTGGTCTTTGCCGGCCTCCGGCTCGCAGCCGAGGAGACACATTCGGTGGCGCTAGACGGCCCCCGCGTCATTTCCGCTTTGGCGCAGCGCAAGAATCTGAGGCAGGGTGGCCCAGCGATGAGCCGCGTGTGCTGGTGATCCGCTTGCGCAGCCACCTGTCCAGTGCACGTGCTCGGAACTTATCTTCATTCGCTGCCGCCCAGGGCCCGGTTGCCCCCCGGCCTGCGCCCGGACGGCGCGATCACGGTTCTCAGGGGGTGCCTGCGCGCGCGCGGCGTGCCCGAGGCTGGCGCTTTCGGCTCGCGCGTCGCTCGTCGCGGGCACGCGCTCGACATGCTGTGCAGCGGCGGTAGCTTGCATGAGGTGCTCGCCGCCAGACAGTGGCGAGGCGCCGCGTCGCTCCTGGGTTCGTTCCCGCCGTTCGACCGCATTGAGTCCGCGGCCGTGCTCGAAGCGGCGGTTGTGGCGAGCGGGGGCGAATGCGAGCAAGACGCAGCATCCGCCCGTGCGCTGGCGCGCCGCGGGCGCAGCCGGACGCCGGCGGACATCTCGGCGCGTTCTGCGCCTCGGCCCAGGAGCCGAACGTGCGCCGCAGCCGCGAGCGCTCTCGCGCGCTGCGCTGCAATGCGCGCGCTGGGTCGGGCAGTGGGCGCCGCGCGCTCGGGCGCGGCCGTTTCGGCACTGGGTGTAGCCGAGCCCTCGCGCAGCGGCGGCGTGCAGCGCGGCGCCCTCGAGCTGCGCCGCGTTGCCCCGCTGCGCGCCGCGCCCGTCGTCCGGGCGCGGCGGCGCCTGACGGGCAGGTTCGCGCGGCGAGCGCCAGACTGGCACTCGTCTAGGGGCCCTTGGGGCTTTTGTGTTGGAGCGCGGAGCCGGCGTTGCGCGGGGGCGCGAATGCCTGGGGGCGCCCCGCCACGCGCGCGGCGCGCGGCGGCTTGCGCGGTCGCGCGCACGACGGGCGGGAGCCGGAGGATCGCGCCGCGAGAAGCGCTGCGCCATCGTCGGGCGCGCGGGGCTCTGGGCCCAGCCATGCGCCGCGCGGCGCAAGGCATGCCGTTCTTCTTCCCCTTGGCTGGCCGTGCATTTCGTGTGCACTTCGCTCTGGCGGCGGTCTTCCTGCCCCCGCCTCGCGCTGCCGCGCCCTCGCGCGTGGCGGCGGCGTGCTGCGTGCATTTCGACGTGCGCGCGCGACGACGCGCGCGTGTGAACATCGCCCATTTCTTGGTGCAATTATGATGAACGTGCGTGCGTGCATTGTTCATTTTGTAAAATTGAAGGGTGGTGGTGGTGGTGGTGGGCTAACTCCCGCCTGGCTGGGATCGTAGGAGTTCGTATTTAGGATGGGCGAGGGGGCATGATCACATGTAAATGGCACTGATACAAGGTGTGCCGTTGAACCGGGGAGGGGGGATTGTACTATATGAGGCGGTGTAAGTGGTGTAGGGTGGAACCCATGTGGTGCGCAACATGCTTGTAATGTATTGTGCAATACATGTTGTGCAACCTGCGTGGTGCATTCGATGTCGTGCGGTTGATGTTGCACGGGCGATGTTGGGCGATGCGTGTGAAACCATCTGTGTGGTGCAACGTATGGTGTGTGATCTAAATTGTTCTGTGCATGTGATGCAATCGGTGTGGTGCAGTCTGTGGTTTTGCAACCTGCGTGATAAAGTCTTTATGCTGCAACGTGGGTGAAGCAAGGTATGTTGCGAAATCTAGGCGGTGCTGTCTGTGATGTGCAATTCACAAATTTTTGCGTTGAGTTGTGAAATCGTTGCGCGTCTCGCAATCATCCCACCCACCCGCCCGCAACTGGGTTTGAAACGAACGCCCATGCGATAACGAGTTCGACGAGTGCATGGCGTTGGCTAGTGCATCTCTGCGGCCGCGCTAGCCCGCGCATGCTCGCGCTCGCAACGGTCATCTGGTACGGCGCTACCGACGCAGCGGCGGTGGCGCTGGCCGCTGGGCACTCGCCAGCGGGCGCTTCAGTGCGAGTCGGTGACTTGGGCGGGCGCGGCATCATGGCGACGCCGACGACGGTGGGCGCGAGTATGGGCGTAGCGATGATGGTGGCGATGGTGGCGGTGACGACGGCAGGGCCAATGGCGGCGCCGATGTTGGCCATGCCCGCCGATCGTTTTCGCGTCGGTGTACAGACACTTGTCGACGCGCGCGCGCGGCCGACGGGCGCGATTGGCCCGCGTGGTTTTATTTCGCGCGGATCGCGCCCCCCCCCATGCGCGCGCGCAAGGGCGTTCGGATGAGTTCGACATGCGGCGCGAGAGGCCTTCTTGGCACAGCTAGATGAGCGTGTTGAAAAGAGAAAACCATTGATTTTCGTGAGAACTCGCACAAACGCGCGCGTTTTTTTGTGTGTGTGTGCGTGTGTATATATGTGTGTGTGTGTGTGTGTGTGTGTGTGTGTGTGTGTGTGTGTGTTTGTTTTTCCTCATGATAATATGTGTACGCATGTTTTCGTGACGCTCGATGCTGGCAGCCTTACAACACCTAAGACGCCAAAGGGTTTCGGCATCTGCGCGACGGCGACAGCAAGTTGTTCTTGCGACAGCGAGCGCGCGAACACGTTCGAAGGATTACCGCACGCGCGCACGAAAAGGCGCTTTTGATAGTAGTCGATGAACATGTTCAGCAAACATGGCTTTCTCAATGGTCTGCGCGAATGCATTTTTATTATTAATCTTCATATATATATATATATACATATATATACATATATTCCAAAAACTATTATATTTTACCGCAACCATTATCATATAATTACAGATGTGTGTATATAATATGTATATATATATGTATACACAAAGTTTTTTTTTTTTTTTTTTTTTTTTTTTTTTTTTTTTTTTTTTTTTTTTTTTTTTTTTTCTAATTATATGTATATATATACTTATATGCATACATACATATATATATACATATATATGTAAAAACCAATTTTTTTTTTGTTTGCGAACATTTTCTTGGGGTATATTTCCCCGACATTCGATTTTGAAAGCCTTGTGAATCCGAGCGTTTTCAACCGGATTTCGGCATGCGCGCGCGACGACGAGCGCGTGTGCATTCCGCCGTTTTTTTTATAGTTTTTTTTGTTGTTGTGTTCCTTCTTCGTTTGTTTGTTGATATCCGATGATTATTGATAAACGAGTGTGCGTGCATAGTATCTTTCGAGACGGTGAGAGGGGGACCCGTTACCGTTTTGGCAAGGATGACTTGAATTCATATTTCGGATGGACGGTGGAACACAATCATTATCAAATTGCAATACGGAAAAAAGTAACCCGTCAGGTCCTTGTTGGGGGTAGGTCCCACAAGTTTGCCACAACAGATCGTATGTATGTACATATGTAGTGTAATGTATGTATGTATGTAAGTATGTATATGTGTATAATAGTTATGTGCATTCTATATAATATGCAATCTGTTGTGTGCCATTCTGATGTTCAAAATATGTGAACCAATATTTGTAATGCAGTTTTTTTGTGCAATCGATGCAGTGCAATTTACGCAGCGCAGGATAGGTCGTGCACACCATGTATTGCAATTTATGTGATGCAATGTTGATGGTCAAATCATTGTTTATGGGTGCATGTGAAAAGTCTATGTGATGCTGCCTGTATGGTGCAGTCTATGTTGCGCAATGCGATGGAAAGCAATGCGATACAAAGCGCGGCGGCGACGATGTAGCGACGAGGCGGCGACGGCGACCACACAGCGGCCAGAGCGGCCCGCAGGCCCAGAGGACGAGGCGGCGACGGCGACAACATAGTCGCCGGACCGCCTCACCAGCCCAGTGCCTTCGAACAGAAATAATAACCATATCTGTTTCGAGCATATCGGCTCCATCTGCGTACATAGTTGGACTTGGTCCGCACGAGAATATCACCACGGACAGTCGTAAGCAGGACGATCACAAGACAATCACCTGAACGCGAGTAGTACGTCTAGGCCCCAGGTATGCGCGAAATGCACCAAATGTTGTTCAAACGAAGCTTTTGCAGCGACAGACGTATCAGGTTCCGAAAAAGACTTGGCCCTGTCTCTGAAGGGTGTGCGTATGTTTTCAGAGTAATATACTTTCAGGTTCACTTTCAGAGTTTTTGATCACTCTGCGTATCCCCACCAGCCCATACAGAAATGATCGCCAGGCGAGCTGCCCTGAGCACGGAAGTGTAGAAGCATCCAGTGGAACAAACAGGTGCGCTAGCCGTAAAACCGAAGCTTGGACGCAGTCTGTGCCGCCGAAGGAGAAGGAGGCGGTGGAGAAGTGGAGCTGTTTGCGTAAAGCTTTCCTCATGTGTCCGACCTGCATGCGTAACATGATCAGGTTGCAGGCGTTCTCTGCCTATGGGAGGAACCTCTCTCTACATAGTTCTCTTACCCTTGTCGATCACCCGCTATTTTTCGGACAGCGTTCCATACGTTCTAGGTATGGTCGAGGTGGGTGTCGGCGTCGGATCCCAGATTGGGCGCCTGTTGGGTGGGCGGGGGGCACGAACCAGATCTGTGCACCGATAGTGGCCAGGCCGACCTGATGCCCGGTGTGGGTCTGGCCAGGATCTTAGTGGGCTCCGGAAGGGACGCAGCAGTTTGTTGGTCTCGTTCCGTTTTCCGTTTTCTGTTTCTCCCGTTCCGTAGTGCTTGTGTTTTATGTTTTTCTTGTTCCGTGGCCGTTTTTTTGTTGTTTGCCCCCCGGTTTCCAATTCGGCGCCGTTTTTTCGAGCATTTTCTGGGCGTGTTCAAAGTCAGAGCCAGATGATCGTAACCTGTTAAAAACGTGCTGTCATTTCCAGGGCCCACTCACGGCCAGGATGGGTGTCGGTCGCGTTTTGTTGGCCTCCTCGCAGGTGGGTTCCTCTACGACGGGGGCGGCTTCTGGCTGCCGTTTGTGACTCTGGCGGTCGGCCAGTCTCTGTGGGCCCTGCTGGGCCTGCAGTTCGACGAGATGCAGGGCTCCGCCGCCGCGACCTCGATCACAGAGAGGAGTTTCGCGGAGTCGAACGAAGGTCTGGGGCAACGTTAGGGGGTGGCCGATAAGGGCCCGATAGCTCGTCCTGCTCAGGAACGCACGGTTTCGCTATCATGCATCTCTTGACGATGTATCGCCGATTCAAGCTCGATGTTCCCCCCTCCTGTGAGCCAGTCCCCTGGTGGGTCCTGGAGCATAACTCGGGCCTCCCCTGGCGGTTCGGAACGACTCGGGCGCCCACGGAACACTCCTGGCGAGGCGCAGGTGCGTGAAGGCACCTCGAGGCTGGGAAGCCGCCGAGAACCCGCGAACGCGCCCGAAGACCTGAAGTCTCGAGGCCTTAACACCTCAAGCCTCGAGCCAGTCCCTCCTCCGGAGCCAGACCACCCCTCTCCCCCCCCCTCTCCGCCCAATGCCTGGAAGGTTTCTCCGAAGGGCTTAGACGACCCGTCCTCCTCCTCCTCCTCCTCCTCCTCCTCCTCCTCCTCCTCCTCCTCCTCCTCCTCCTCCTCGGATCGCCTACGGCCCCGGGGGAAACCGTGCGCCAATGCCGAAACGCCGAATCAGAGAACGTTCACCTTCTTGATCCCCCTCAGAGAGCGGCGGCCCCCGCTGCCGGTGCCTTCGGCAGGGCGGGGCCTCTCGAAGCTGCCGTTCCGAGCTCTCTCGGGGCAGCACTCTGCCGCCCGAAGGCTTCCGCTCTGCCGGGGGCCACGCCGTGCAGGGTGCCGCCCTTCCCTGCAGCGAGGCCTCGGGTTTCGAGGATCTTCAGGGCGTGTGCTCGCCCAATGCGGGGGGAAGGAGAAGCGACACCAACAACACCACCAGGGGGCCATGTCCAGCGAAGAGGTCCACGACGCTACCCCGAGCTGGGGATAGGGGATATCTCGAGCGAGAGGGGGGACCACACCAACAGGGGGGCCCCTCCCTGACTCCTCCCGCTGGTGCCTCCTGGAGCTGTTGGTGTCGGTTTTCCATGCTCTTATGCGTGCTTGCCCCGTTCAGCCCCGTCGATGGCACTCGAGGTCTCCTAGATGTGGTCGGTGTAGACGGGGTCGGCGGATCGCGCCGCATCGCCGATGCATCGCCGATGCGACTCGGAGTGGAGCCCGATTTGCTTCACGTCGACGTCGCACGTCGACGATGCGGCGCTAGTTCATTCCCGATGCATCGCCGATGCATCGCCGACGCATCGGCGATGCGGGGCGATCCTCCGACCCCATCTACTCCGACCCCATCAAGGAGGCCTCTAAGCACGCACCCCGTGTTGGCCCTCGTTAGCTACGCCGCCTGCGTCGCAGAGTAGGGCTTCGGTGGACAAACACGCGTCTGCGTCGACACACGTTCTGAGGAACTTCGAGGGTTGCGCACTGGCAGCCCCCTAGGGTACTGGCCTCGAGAGGCTCCCCGAGTAGTCCGAGGCGGCGCCCCAGGGTGTCCTCCTCCTCCTCCTCCTCCTCCTCCTCCTCCTCCTCCTCCTCTTTCTCCTCCTCCTCCTCTCCCCTCCTCCTCCTCCTCCTCCTCCTCCTCCTCCCCCTCCTCCCCCTCCTCCTTCCTCCTCTCCTCTGCTTCTCCTCCTCCTCCTTCCTCCTCCTCCCTCCCCCTCTCCCTCCTCCCTCGCACCCTCCTGCCCTCCCACCCTCCTCCCCTCCTTCCGCCCCTGCCTTCCTCCTACTCCTCCCCTCCTCTACTCCCTCCTCCTCCCCCTCTCCCTCCTCTCCTTCCTCCTCCTCCTTCTCCTTCTTATCTGCTCCTCCTCCTCCTCCTCCTCTCCCTCTCCTCCTCTCTCTTCTTCTCCTCTCTCCTCCTCCTCCTCCTCCTCCTCCTCCTCCTCCTCCTCCTCCCTCCTCTCCCTCCTCCTCCCAGGACTACCTGAGGGGGCTGTCTGTGCGCAGCCCGAGTCCTCACCAACCTTTATTTGTCCAAGGAAGCTGACCAGGGTGCCGTACCTTTCTTTCCTGACGGCGAGAGGTTCCATTGCCGTCATGGCGGTTCTGTTCAACTACTTCATGGTTGGCTTCATGGACACTACGCTGCCGTCGCACCTCGAGGAGCACCTCGGGCCCATACCGATCTGGGTCGTCAGCGTGCTGATGGCGGTAAGGACCGCAGTGGCTTCGTCATGTTCGCCATGAAATAAGCGGTTCCTGAGGGAAACTGGCACTGAGGTTTTTTGAGGTTTTCGGCCCCGGGGGGGCCCTCCCCAGAGATTGTTTCTTTATCCTCTGGCGTGTAACGGTCGTTACCCGCCCGGGCCAATCCCCTCCCTCCCCAAGGATCACGGTAGCGGGGGTGGGGGGCCCGCCCCCCCCTCAGGCTGGTCTTCGCGCGCATACTACGGCGATCTCAGCGCCCCCCGCCCAAGCGGGCCCCACCCCGCCCAATGGTTGCCGTTACACGGCGCCCCCATCTCCTCCCCCACCCCCCCGTGGTAACGAGCGTTACCCAGACCCCCGACGTCGCGATTTTTTCACAACGTCGACCTCGAGAGGTCTGGACTCCTTCCCCAGGACAGGTTTTTCATCCCGAGTCGTTTTTTGACGGTCCCGCGGCCCGCTGAGGGCCCGCGGAGGCCGAAAGTATATAGAAGCATCCCCCGTTGTGATTTTTTCACAGCCCCGAGGGGGTCTGGGTACCCGAAACGATAAACAAAAACACCAGTCCTGTCAACAGAACTGTGTGTCCTGGATGAAGTCGTGGCCCCCTGCGGAGGGAAGGCCCCCGGGTGCCCAGGGCCCAGCTCCCTCGCAGGACCCGAGTGGTCCTGATGCTGACCTGTGAGGGGCAAACGGGGGCCTGGGAGCAGTCGAGCGGACCTTGGGCGGCGAGCGAGGGGGGGGGAAGTCTCGGGCTCGAGGTTCGAGGTTTTCGGACGTTTTCGTCGGTTCTCGGCGGTTTTCCAGCCGCGGGAGGCTTGCCAGCAGCTGCGCCTCGCCGAGGGCGTTCCAGGGGTGCCCAGGGCGTCCCGAACGGCCGCCGGAGATCCGAGTCATGACCCAAAATCCACATTCGGCGGCGAGCGAGGGGGGGGAAGTGAGAAGGAGAAGGCCTTCTCAGAAGGCGGCGGGACTTCTCAGAAGCCCTCGCGCCTTCTGCGAGGTTTTTGTCTGTCTTCGGAAAGGCTCAAGACAACTTCCCAGAAGGCTGAGGGACTTCGGAGACTTCTGAGAAGGCCCGCCACTTCTCACTTCTCCCCCCTGGCTCGCCGCCGAGACATGGCCAGGCCAACATGGGCTTGCAGCGAGCTCGGGCTTGCTGCCGTCGGCCGTCCTTTGACCTGGCCAGGGCCCGTGCGGTTGTGCACGTCCCCCAGCCGATGGTGGGCTATCGCTCCAGTCGTTCGTTCTTCCTCAGGAAGGGGGGGGAGGAGGACTCGAGATCTGGGGCGCAGAGCTCCCCGCAGGTCCTGGCGCATATATGCTTTCAGACAGGTGTCAGACCTACGTAATTGGAGTCCCGCCGATTTTCTCGGTGAGACGTGTTGACCTATTCAGTGCTGCTGTGTGCACCGCCGTTCTTGCGTAGGATTCAGCAAAGAAGGGACGCAGCGCAGAAGAGGAGGAGCAGGATAATGAGGATGAGGATGAGGATGATGAGGATGATGATGAAGATGGTGATGATGATGGTGGTGGTGGTGGTGGATATATGGACTCATGATGGGATGCTGATGTGGGTTCTGATGCTGAGGCTACTGCTTCTCATGATGAGGTTGATGCTGACGGTCATGTGGGTGATATTGTTGTTGATGGTGGTGATGATGTTAATGAGTATGATGATGACGGTTATGATGAAGATGATAATGATGATAATGCTGATGGTGATGATGTTGGTAGTGATGATGCTGATGATGATGCTGATGAGGATGATGATGATGCTCGTGCTGCTGATGATGATCAAGATGATGATACTGATGACGATAGGCGCTGATGACGGTGGCAACAGTAAATAGAGGAATATGGGGATTGGGATGGGGATTATGGTGATGGTCATGGTGATGATGATGATGCTGATGATGATGATGATGATGCTGATCGTGATGATGATGATGTTGATGCTGGCGACGACGATGATGATGCTGATGATGAGGATGCTGATGCTGCTGCTACTGATGACGATTCTGATGATGCTGCTGATCATGATGATGCTGATAATGATGCTGATGACGATGCTGACGACGACGATGCTGATGATGCCGATGATGATGCTGATGCTTGTTCTGATGCTGCTGATGAGGATGCTGCTGACGATGATGATGTTGATGTTGATGATGGTGGTGGTGATGATGCTGGTGATGGTTGCGATGATGCTAATCCTGCTGCTGATGATGATGCTGTTGAAGATGAGGATGATGATGCTGCTACTGCTTATGATGATGATGCTGATGATGATGCTGATTCTGATTATGATGACGAAGCTGATGATGATGCACATGCTGCTGTTGATGATGGTGCTGATGATGATGATGATGATGATGATGATGAGGATGATGATGATGATGATGATGATGATGAGCATCATGATGATGTTGATGCTTATGCTGATGCTGATGAGTATGATGAGTATGGCGATGCTGATGATGGTGATGACGATGCTGTTGCTGATGATGTTGATGATGCTGCTGATGATGCTGATACTGCTGATGATGATGCTGATGCTGCTGATGATGATGAATATGATTATGATCTTGATGCTGATGGTGATGATGATGCTGCTGATGATGATTATGACGATGATGCTGATGGTGGTGCTGCTGCTACTGATAATGATGATGCTGATGCTGAGGAGGGGGATGAGGAGGAGGAGGAAGGAGGAGGAGGAGGAGGAGGAGGAGGAGGAGGAGGAGGAGGAGGAGGAGGAGGAGGAGGAGGAGGAGGAGGAGGAGGAGGAGATGGAGGACGATGAACAGGAGATGAGGATGAAGATGAGGATGAGGATGAGGAGCTGCTGCTGCTGCTGACGATGATGATGAGGAGGATGAGGAGGGGGAGGAGTAGGAGGAGGAGGAGGAGGAGGAGTAGGAGGAGGAGGAGGAGGAGGAGGAGGAGGAGGAGGAGGAGGAGGAGGAGGAGGAGAGTGAGGAGGAGGAGGAGTGAGGCGGAGGAGGAGGAGGAGGAAGAGGAGGGGAGGAGGAGGGAGGAGGAGGAGGAGGATGAGGAGGAGGAGGGGAGGAGGAGGAGAGGAGGAGGAGGAGGAGGAGGAGGAGGAGGACGGAGGAGGAGGAGGAGGACGTAGGAGGAGGAGGAGGAGGAGGAGGAGGAGGAGGAGGAGGGGGAGGAGGAGGAGGGGAGGAGCAGCGGAGCAGGCGGAGGAGGAGTGAGGAGTGAGGGGGGAGGAGGAGGAGACGTAAAGGAGGAGAGATGAGGAGGAGGAGGAGGAGGAGGAGGAGGAGGAGGAGGAGGAGGAGGAGGAGGAGGAGGAGGAGGAGGAGGAGGAGGAGGAGGAAGGGCAGGAGGAGGAGGAGGAGGAGGAGGAGGAGGAGGAGGAGGACAAGGAGGAGTACGGGACGAAGAGGAAGATGGCCAGGCATCCTTGCGGGCAGGAGTGCAACCTATCTGCTCGTCTCCTACTTCTGCGCGCAGGCGATGCACAGAGGATGGGTCAGCCTGGAGGCGATGCTGGCGATCGGGGCCGGGTGCTGTCTGGGAGGCGGCGGGGGGGGGCAAGGGAGGAGAAGTTCCCACCCCCTTCTCCGCTGCTCGGGCCCCTTCCACGCGCTTCTCACCCTCGCTGTATATATATATATATATATATATATATATATTATATACATATATATATATATATATATATATAATAGGTATATCGGCACACATATCCATATGTATATTTTCCCGCGCAAGTGCTTGCTTTCAGGGGCTCTTCCTTCATTTCTGAGGAACTTGACTAGCCCGTTGGTACGGCGGCCATGTGGTCTCCGTCTCCGCCCCGTCGCCCAGAGCCTGCCCGTCGGTCTGGCGGCCATGTGGTCGCCGTCGCCGGTCCGCCTGTGCTTGCACTTAGGGGGTCGTACTTGTCTTCTAAGGACTTGGTATCGCTCGGACGTGTGCATGTTCTTCCTGGCGAGGACCGTTGAGGAGCATCTTGGATCATCGTGCGAAAAATAAGCGCGCGACACCGAAACATACGCAGGGAATGGACGTCCGGGCGATGGCCAGAGGAACGGGGCCTGAGGGCCGCTTTGGCCGCCATGTGGCCGCTGTCACCACCCCATCGCCGCCCGTCGCCGCCCGTCGCCTGGGCCTGCGGGTCGCTCTGTCGCCGTCCGTCGCCTGGGCCTGCGGGCCGCTCTGGCCGCTGTGTGGTCGCCGTCGCCGCCTCGTCGCTGCCCGTTGCTGCCGGTCGCCTGGGCCTGCGGGCCGCTGTGGTCGCCATCTGGTCGCCGTCGCCGCCTTGTCGCTTTGCATTGCTTTGTCTGCATTGCTGTACATAGTTTTGTATGTGCACCACATATACTGCACCACATGGCTTGCCACGCAGATTGCAGCACATATATTGTACCACATCGTACGCCAGAGCGCACTTTCTGGGGTCCACGCTGGCTAACACACACACACACGGTAATTATGTATGTATGTATGTATATATATAGCTATGTGTATGTTTGTATGTTTGTATCGTTTTATGTATTTTTGTTTGGATGTATGTATGTATGTGTGTACAGGTGCGTGTGTATGTATACATACAGTACACATGTATGGATGTATGCATGTATGCATTCTCGCATGAATGTATGTTTGTATGTACGCCTGTATGTATGTATGACTGTATGTGTGTACGTATGTATGCATGTACGTACGTGTATGTATGTATGTGTGTATGCATGCACGTACGGGTGTATACTTGCATGCATGCATGTCCGAATGTCTGTTTGTTTGTATATTATGTATGTATGCAGATATGCATGTGGGTATTCATGCATGCATGTATGTATGTATACGTTTACGTATACATGTATGAAGTTTGGTATATACGAATGCATGCGTGTATGCATTCATGCATGCCGGTATGTATGCATGCATTCATGCATGTGTGTATGTATGCTTGCTGCACACATATATATGTGTGTGTGAACGTATGAATGCACGTATGTATGTATGTACGCATGTATATATGTATGCACATGCATGCATATCGGTATGCATGTATGTATGTATGTATGTAGTTATGTATGTATGCATGTCTGTATGTATGCATGCATGTGTGTTTGCATGTACGTACGTATGTATGTATACATACATACATATTTATGTACATATATATATATATATATATATATATATATATATTTATACATATATATTATATATATATGTATGCATGCATGGCTGTCTGTCTGCTGTCTGTCTGTCTGTCTGTCTGTCCGTCCGTCTGTCTGTCTGTCTGTCTGTCTGTCTGTCTGTTTGCATAAGAGAGCGCGCCCACAGGGCCCGAGCAAAGGGGAGGGGGGGCTAGGCTTAAGCTACCCCCCCCTCCCTTGAGCCGCCCTTGTTGGAAGCACCCCCCCCCCCCTTTTTTTTGCAAGGGGGGGGGGGCTTACAGCTACCCCCCCCTCCCCCCTTGGGCCCTCCCCGGAAGCTACCCCCCCCTCCCCCCCTTTCCAAAGGGGGGGGGTGCTTAAGCTACCCCCCCCCTCCCTTGGCGCTGCCCTGCTGGAAGCTACCCCCCCCTCCCCCCCTTTCGTGCAAAGGGGGGGGGGTGCTTGGAAGCTACCCACCCCCCCCCCTTTGGCCGCCCCGGAAGCTACCCCCCCCCCTACCGCCCTTTCCAAAGGGAGGGGGGTGCTTAAGCTACCCCCTTCCCTCCCTTGGAGCCGCCCTGCTGGAAGCACCCCCCCCTCCCCCCCTTTGTGCCAACGGGGGGGGGCTTCCCCCCTTTGGCCGCCCAGCCCCCGGAGCCTCCGCCATCTCTTTCGCCGACGATCCAGCGCGGTTTATCATATATTTATATATACATATATGTGTAGATAGGTGTGTGTGTATATATATATATATACATATATATATATATATATATATATATATATGCTCGCCCCCCCTGTGATCATACATTTCGCTTTCTTTCTCATCCTCCTCGTCGTCGTCCTCCTCATCATCATCCTCATCGTCGTCGTCGTCGTCGTCCTCCTCCTCCTCATCCTCCCCCTTTTCCTCCCCTCCTCCTCCTCCTCCTCTTCCTCCTCCTCCTCGTCATCATCATCATCCTCATACTCCTCCTCCTCCTCCTCCTCATCCCCTCTCCCTCCCCACCCTCTCCTTTCAACCTGTCTCCTCCCCACATGTTCATACACAAACCAAGTCTTCGACACTGCAAAGCACTTCCACGGCGCTACTTTGGAGGGGCATCCAAAAAAGGATGCCCCTCTGTGGCGGACGCGGGCCCAGGAGGGAACCCAAAAAACGGGTTACCATCACTGTGCCCGAACACAGAGCCACATGGTCGGACGCCTGTTACGCAAGGACACCAGCAACGGCTCAGCATCAGTGATGATCCCACACAACAAACCAAAACTTCGACACTGCGAAGCGCTTCCACGGCGCTACTCTGGAGGGGCATCCAAAAAACGGATGCCCCTCCGTGGCGGACGCGGACCCAGGAGGGAACCCCAAAAACGGGTTCCCATCACTGTGCTCGAACACAAGGCCACATGGCCGCACGCTTGTTACGCAACGACACCAGCAACGCCTCAGCATCAGTGATGACACCACACCACAAACCAAGTCTTCGACACTGCAAAGCGCTTCCACGGCGCTACTCTGGAGGGGCATCCAAAAACGGATGCCCCTCTGTGGCGGACGCGGACCCAGGAGGGAACCCAAAAAACGGGTTACCATTACTGTGCCCGAACACAAGGCCACATGGTCGGACGCCTGTTACGCAAGGACACCAGCAACGGCTCAGCATCAGTGATGATACCACACAACAAACCAAAACTTCGACACTGCAAAGCGCTTCCACGGCGCTATTCTGGAGGGCACCCGAAAAACGGATGCCCCTCCGTGGCGGACGCGGACCCAGGAGGGAACCCCAAAAACGGGTTCCCACCACTGTGCTCGAACACAAGGCCACATGGCCGCACGCTTGTTACGCAACGACACCAGCAACGCCTCAGCATCAGTGATGACACCACACCACAAACCAAGTCTTCGACACTGCAAAGCGCTTCCACGGCGCTACTCTGGAGGGGCATCCAAAAACGGATGCCCCTCTGTGGCGGACGCGGACCCAGGAGGGAACCCCAAAAACGGGTTACCATCACTGTGCCCGAACACAAGGCCACATGGTCGGACGCCTGTTACGCAAGGACACCAGCAACGCCTCAGCATCAGTGATGATACCAACAACTATCCTTAGCGAAAACCTTGTGTTTTCCAGCTTTTCCAGCTTTTCCAGCTTTTCCCAGAGACTACCCTGATGAAAAACCTTGTGTTTTCCAGCTTTTCCAGCTTTTCCAGCTTTTCCCAGAGATTACCCTTTTGAAAAACCTGGTGTTTTTTTAGCTTTTCCAGCTTTTCCAGCTTTTCCCAGAGACTACCCTGGTGAAGAACCTTTTGTTTTCCAGCTTTTCCAGCTTTTCCAGCTTTTCCAGCTTTTCCCAGAGACTACACGGGTGAAAAACTTTATGTTTTCCAGCTTTTCCAGTTTTTTCCCAGAGATTATCCTGATGAAAAACTTTGTGTTTTCCAGCTTTTCCAGCTTTTCCAGCTTTTCCCAGAGATTACCCTGGTGAAAAACCTTGTGTTTTCCAGCTTTTCCAGCTTTTCCCAGAGACTACCCTGATGAAAAACTTTGTGTTTTCTAGCTTTTCCAGCTTTTCCAGCTTTTCCCAGAGACTTCACTGGTGAAAAACCTTGGGTTTTCGAGCTTTTCCATGATTTCCCAGAGACTACCCTGGTGAAAAACCTTGTGTTTTCGAGCTTTTCCAGCTTTTCCCAGAGACTACCCTGGTGAAAAACCTTTATCAGGGTAGTCTCTGGGGAAAGCTGGAAAAGCTGGAAAAGCTGGAAAACACAATGTTTTTCACCAGGGTAGTCTCTGGGAAAAGCTGGAAAAACTGGAAAACACAGAGTTTTTCACCAGGGTAATATCTGGGGAAAGCTGGAAAAGTTGGAAAAGCTGGAAAACACAAGGCTTTTCACCAGGGTAGTGTCTGGGAGAAGCTGGAAAAGCTGGAGAAACTGGAAAACACCAGGTTTTTCACCAGGGTAGTCTCTTGGGAAAAGCTGGGAAAGCTGGAAAAGCTGGAAAACAAAAGGTTTTTCACGAGGGTAATCTTTCGGAAAAGCTGGAAAAGCTCAAACACAATCACACAGAGCGTGAAAGACAAACAGTCGAAGACAGCAGCAAACAATCACAGAGAGCGCGAGAGACAAACGCAAAGAGAGAACAACAAAACGAGAGAGAGGGATAGAGCGAGAGAGAAGGGGAGAGGGAGAGAGCGAACACGGAAGACGGATATGTATGATCACAGGGGGGGGGGCGACCATATATATATAATTATATATATATATATATATATATATATATATATATATATATATATATATATATATATATATATATATATATATATATATCCCCGTGCAAGAGGCCGGGGCGCCCGGGACCGCGA